GGCTTGTATGCCAATGTGCTAAAGATGTGGCCTTGTGGGTCCACCGCCGAAGACATTATGTGTCAAAGGTGTTGCACCTTTATTATGAGGTTGAGAACAAAGTTTTCAAGTTCTAGAAATCAGGAAAATTTTGTAGAAGATCCCAAAATTTAGCATCTGAGCAGACGCCGGAGAATCGGGATCGGAGCAATCCAAAATATCCAAAACTTGTTTGTACTCGACGAGTGAGCATAGAAATTCCATCGACCTCAATGCCACGGGAAGGACAAAACGATTTGAAACTATAAAGATTTTATTTACTGAAGAAAGGGAAATGCGGAGTACACTACGGAAGCATTAAAAAACATAACAAAGGATAGCAAGAGAAAAGAAAATGAGCTAGAGCTCTAGAAGTCCCCGAGAGGGAATCATCTTCATCTTCTTCTTCCTCTTCTTCATCGCTCTCTTTCGCGTCCTCTTTGTCTTCATCTTTTTCTTCCTCTTCCTCTTCCTTATCTTCCTTATCCTCAACGTCATACGTCCCACTTGGTTGAGCCTCACGTGTTCAACGAATCTCTGTTTGAGGGATTGGTGTAAGGGACAATTTCAGCGTATGGGTAATTGACGAAGTCAAAATACCCATGTAGCTCCCGGCTTAAAGTATTCACATTTTGAGCCGTTTGAGCGACGATGGTGTCGATCTGGGAGAGAGTGGCTGTCAGGGCGGCCATTTTCTACGAGAGGGATTGAGGGTTTGAAGACGGTTCCCGATCTTGGCGGCGTGGACGAGGTGGAGGGAAGGGGGTATCCTCATTTCCCGAGTGGAAGGACGACTCGTCGATCTCCCGATGCTTCGTCCCCTTCTATTTTGGCCTAACATCCCTCTTGATTGATATTGTATCCATCAAGAATGGCCATGACAAGAAGAGCGTAAGGGAGCGGCTTTTCGTTGGAGGTAGCACCAAACATGTGCGTCATCACAAATTTGCACCAATTTTATGTTGGCGTTGTGAATCATCGCATGAAGCGTCTTGGTGTCCTCTTGAGAAAGCGACGTGTGGTTGTACTTCCGGGGCTTGAGAATCCGTGTCAAGACATAGAAAATGAATCGATACACGGGATTCATGGAAGTAGTTGTCGGATGGTGTTGCGATGGAGTGGGGGTGAAGTTCTGGATGCCAATTTCTTCCAAAAGAGCGGCTTCGTTGGAACGCGCCCCTTCTTCGCCTATGTAGCAGTTGAGATCATCCCCATCACGACGGAGCCCGGTGAGGATTTGCACGTTCTCCTCGCTCAAGTAAATGTCGACGCCATTGACATTTGAAATGAGCGCCCAATCTTCCTCCTTTTTCAAGTTCGAGTAGAAGGCTCAAACGAGAAAGGGTTGGTAGTGAGCCTTTTGAATGTAGAGGAGTTCGAGGAAGTTCCCAAGGCTAAGAATATTACGCGCCTCTCGAGGGACGGCGCCTTGACGAAAGCGCACAGTGAAGAAATAGGGAGGAAGAATCTCCCGGTGCTCGAACTTCTCGGTGAATCGCGTCGTCTCTGCGTGGTTGTGTTGTTAAACCACAAGAACGATCCGTCGAGATACTTGTTCTTCGGTGGTGGTGGAGGAGCCGAGGAGGAGGCAACGTATTTTCCGGTGTGGGAGCGCTTCTTTTGTCCTCCTGCCATATCAAGAGAGAGAGAGAGAGAGAGGGGGAGAACAAGAAATTTGTAGGAAAGAGGCAAAAACTTGAAGAACAAGTGCAAGAATTTGAAGAAATTGATGAAATATGATGAATATATGAAGAAAAGATGTTTGGAGTGAGTAACTATTGAAGAGATATCACCCATATATAGTGGAGGAGGAGTGGAGATCCGTTGGAGGGAGTCAAACGAGTGATAAATGCCCTTCCAACGGCTAGAAAACGGTCAGATTTTTGAAAATCTACCGTTGATAATCGATTGGCACTATTGGATAATCGATTATCCGCCAAGTCTTTGAGGTCATTTGTCACGTGTTGACGGCTTTGACCCATTTTTAAGTGTTTAGACCGAATGACCATCATACACAAGTGGTTTTTATAAAATAAATGTTTGGGAACCTTTTAAATATGCCTAGAGATAAAAACTTAGTATAAAATATTGAAAACCACTTAGTTGATTCGGACGCTGAAAACCAAACGCCGGACGCCGAACCCCGAACGCCGACCGTTGTGGTTTTGTTTTGGGCAAAGACATGGATTTTTGAACCTTTGAAAAGCTTATTAAAAAATATTAAAAACGTTTATTTGATGCATAAAAACGTTTCATGAATTTATAAAAAATATTTTGACTCTTTGAGAACCGAGACTTGATTTGATTATCGGTTTTAATCACATTGAGACCGACTCGACTAAGTATTCAAATCTTGACCTTGTCCCTGAGTCTCTTGGTCTTGTTTCATGCCTTTCTTCACGCCTTGAGTTATTCTACGTAACTCTTCATATCCACGACGGTTTGGCAATTATCAAAACCTGTCAGAAACGAACACGACTTT